CCATTCCTATTCAACACTGTACTGGCCAGGGCAATTAGGCAAGGGAAAAAAAAGCATCCACATTGAAAAGGAAAAAGTAAAACTATCTCTATTTGTAGATGGCATGGCCTTATACATAGAGAATCCTAAAGAATCCACAAAATAACTACTAGAGACAATAAACAAATTCAATAAAGTTGCAGAATGCCAAATCCATGTACAAAAATCAGTTGTATTTCTATACTCTAGCAATAAACAATCCAAAAAGGAAATCAGAAAACAAATTCCATTTACAATAACATCAAAAAGAAAAAAATACTTAGGAATAAATTTAAGCAAATAGGTGCAAGACTTGTACGCCAAAAACTATAAAACATTGTTGAAAGAAACAAAAAACCTAAAGAAATGGAAAGACATCCTGAGTTCATCGATTAAAAAATTATATATTAGGCCGGGCGCTGTGGCTCACGCCTGTAATCCTAGCTCTTGGGAGGCCGAGGCGGGCGGATTGCTCTGAGAGTAGATACCCTTGTTTTGTTCCTGATGTTAGGGGAAAAGCTTCTGGTGTTTCACTATTAAGTATGATGTTACCTGTGGGATTTTCATAGATGGCCTTTATCAGGTTGAGGATGTTCCCTTCTATTCCTGGTTTGTTGAGTGTTTTTTTTTTTTGTCATGAAAGAGTATTAGATTTTGTCAAATACTTTTTTCTGTATCTGTTAGAATGATCATATGGTTTTTCTTTTATTCTAATAATATGATACACATTAATTCATTTTCAGATGTGAACCACTCTTGCTTTCCTGGATATCCTCCTTGGTCATCATATATGATCCTTTTAATGTGTTGCTAGATTTGGATTTGTAGTATGCTGTTGAAGATTTTGCATCTATATGCATAAGGGATATTGGTCTGTAGTTTTCTTGTAGTGTCTTTGTCTGGCTTTTAACTCATGTGTCCTCATAGCTGTGTTCCTTCTGTAAATATCACATAGTAAGGTTGTTCTTTTTACTTTGGTTTGGCAATCTTTGTTTCTACCTGGATGGTTAAATCCTGGATGGTTAAAGTATTCTTGATATATGAATGTAAGTAATCTCTTATTTATTCTTATTTTATTGAGAAATGGTAACTAGCCTTAAATTTTTACAAAACCTTTTTGTTAAATACATTGTATTTCTGTAACAAAAAAGTGTTGAAGCAATTTATATTCTAACCAGTATTGTAGGAATATTCCTATCTCACTGAATTTTCACTTATTTGAGTATGATCATTTTTAAAATGTTTTAAATTTTTATACCAGAAATGACATTACATTGTTGTTTTTTGCTTTCCTTTTAAAAGTCATTAAGATTGTTGGATGAAGAGAAGCAACTGACAATGATTTTAAGAGCAAAATTCAAGGAACGATGGCACAAGGACGCCATCCAATGAACTCTATAAGCCTTTGAGAGCAGGTAAAAATGTGTATTATGACCTTCCCAATTAATTCCAATTTGGATCTACGTTTTTTGCTTGATTAAATTAGGCTCAGTTGTAAACTCATTTTTACTGAGACCGTGCACTATTATGAAAACCCAGGTGTTTTTTCCTCAGTCCTGATATAAAGATTTAAAAAAATAACAAAAGTAATTGACACTCATTGTAAGAAATTCAGATTCTTTTTTTTTTTTTTGAGACAGAATCTCGCTTTCTTGCCAGGCTAGAGTGAGTGCCGTGGCGTCAGCCTAGCTCACAGCAACTCAACTCCTGGGCTCAGCGATCTCCTGCCTCAGCCTCCGAGTATGCTGGGACTACAGGCACAAGCACCATGCGGTGATTTTTATATATTATATTAGTGGGCAATTAATTTCTTTCTATTTTATGTAGAGACGGGTCTTGCTCAGGCTGTTTTGAACTCCGACCTGAGCAATCCGCCCGCTTCGGCCTCCAGAGCTAGGATTACAGGCGTGAGCCACCGCGCCCGGCCCAGAATTCAGATTCTTAAGAAGAGTATGAAGTGAAAATTAAATTGTCCTCTAATCTCATTTTCTATTCTAAGCCTATGCATGTTTTAAAATATAAATGAGTATCATATGTATGTATAATTATAATTTCTTTTCACTTACCTGGGAGTAAAAATAGGCTTTAACAGTTACTTTGAAGCCAATTTATGCTTTTAAAGACTTGATTGTTAAGATTTGTGTTTGTTAACACAAATGCTGTCTTCATGGTGGCAGGAACCGTTTTATTATATCTCTGTAAGAAATATATACTAATAGATTTCTAAAATAATACTTTAAAATAAGTTGTACCAATTTTGGAGTGTAGATTTCTTTCTATATTCATGAGTTATGGGAAAAGATTAGACTAATGTCAATTAGCTTTTATTTGGCAGATAGTAACCACCAAATACATTTTAAGGTATAGCTGTGCTTTTGATTTTATAAATGATTTTGTAATTTTTCCAAAACAAAAATGCAAAGACTGGGACTGAGTTTTTATTATCAAGTGAATTGGGGCTTGTAGAGGGGAGTTAAGTGTTAACTTGGGGATCAGAACTAGAAGTACAACCATAATAAACATAAACATTGCATTAGAGTCACTTCTGTGCTCTGGAAACTTTTATTTTCTCCAGAGGAAACAACTTCAGAGGAGTTTTAGATAAAGCTATGCAAGCAGATGGACAAGTGAAAGAACGTTACCAGTCTCATCGTGACCACCATTGCACTTCTGTGTAAGCCAGAGCCTGAGCTGAATGCCGCCATCCCTTCTGCTAACCCCGCAAAGACCATGCAGGGCAGTGAGGTGAGAAGGTACATTTTGATGTGGGTGGTCATCTCCTTATGGAAACAATGTTCAAGCCATTACTTACAATGAACTGCTGATTTTTTCTTGGCATCTTTAAAAATGCAGAAGTATATTGGGGTTGTTATAACTGGTATATGTTCTGTGGAATAGGTAATCATACTAATATTACTATCTGTAATTTCCAATTATTGAATGCCTTTTATGAGCTGGGTACTAAATTCTGATACTTCATGTCTTCATATATTCAGAGTAATCATTTTATAAAAGGTAGAATCTTGGAATCATGATAACTTCCATTAAGTGAAAGGACTGGGTTTGACCAGAACACATATTCTTTGTTTCTTACCTCCTTCTATATTGCCTTCCACCATATTCCACTGGGGCTATCTTTGAAGGGAAAATTGACAAGATGTTCATGTTAATAAATGGATAACATCATCATGGTATTTCTAATGATGACAAGATGGAGAACATAAAATATTAGGACATCTGATTTGTAAAGTCTTAAAAGAAGAGAAAGTGAAGTATAATTTAATGGCGCTATCACCGTGAGGTGGGTAATGTAGTAGGATAAGATAGAGGTCCCAAAGTGCACAGGAAAATAAGCTGAAGGGCAAGAAATACTTCTTTGAAAAAGGTGAATTCAGTTAACATATTGAATCGATACATAACCTTATCATGAATTTACAGTCCAGTTTAGAAGATTATCATGGAGAAGGATAACTGGTAGAAGTTTAAAGGTGTCATAGGGAAAGTATGGAAAATATGCTGTGGATTTAGATGAAGTACTTACTTTCAGTAATTTGGAGCTTCTTTTAGGAGGCTTCTTAAGAAATTGGCAATCATGTGAACAGAGTGGCTAGGCAGAAAAAATGAAAACATATATATGTATATGTTGATATATATGTGTGGCGTGTGTGTGTTGTGTGTGTGTGTATGTGTATACACATACAGGATCTTGAGAAGGGCTGAGTTGATATGTCCAGAGGGCCTTAAGAACCAGCCATCAATGTCTGGGCAGCTCCCAGGGAGAAGAGAAGACTACATAGTTGAATGTACGCAGAGTTGAATCTAAAGGGGGAACCCCAGTAGAACAAGGAATATCAATTAGATGCTGGAGGACACGGGGGAGAAAAGGATGGTGGTCGGAAGGTTAATATTTGAAGAACAAATAACTCAAGAGACTACAGACCCAGGGAACAGCAGTAAATTCTGGTACTTTTTTTTTTTTTTTTTTTTTGAGATAGGGTCTTGCCTTCTTTCCCAGGCTAGAGTACAGTGGCATAGTCATAGCTTGTTGCAACTCCCAGTTTCCAGTGATCCTCCTGGCTCAGCCTCCCAAGCAGCTGGGACTACATACTTTTTATTTTAGAAAAAGATCTTTGTTTAGTATCCCTCTTTGTTCTTTTTGGTGCTTGTACATGACTCAGAATTATATGGCTTCTGTCTTTTGAGTTGTCTCCTTTCAGTAGAAAGGCAAAATGGTTTATGCCAAGCAAAAGTTGAATTAATATACATCAATTTGTTGATATTTTATTCAGTTGTAATAGATGCTTTTTTAATCCTTCATGGTATTACACAGGGAAAAGAACTTTTATAGTCAATATGAAGTAATTTTATTGAAGTTGATTTCTTGACAGGTAACCCGAAGAATTTTCAGTACTCTATATCATTCATCATGTGCCTTTATCAAATAAGGATAGCATCATATGTTTATCAAAGCTATTTCAGATGGTTGTCATAGTAGTTGAAACACATTTTAGCCAGAGTTCTTATGATAAAAACTCAGTCATTTGAATTGCTAATTATTTAAGTGATATAATGTACATGTTTATTAAGAGGTCCAGGCTTAATGGTAGGGCTGTTTTTCTTGTGTTGTAAAGAAGCCTACTGTCTGGTTATTTATCTTCAGTCTATTTGCATTTGTTTTTTAGATATTGGAATGCTCTGAAAAAATTTGCAGACTGTTGGTAGTTTGTATATAAAGATCTTTATATGAAATACCACTGCTTGTGATTGTGTGCCTAGGATCCACTGGGTCTGAAATCTAGTCTGTGGTTGGAGAAAAAAACCTTTATCTCCTTAGTGCATAAAGAGAACTGTCCAAAACTGTGTGCCATCCCAGAGGAGGTGCTTTTTTCTGATTATAGACTAATGGAGAATCTGTAAATACAGCTTTTATTCTTGATCTTTCATAACAGGATAGTTTTATACAAGTGTTGAGAATGGCTAGAATCTGTTCATTTGTTGTTCACCAAACATTTGTTGAAGGTCTATTATATACCAAGAACTGTGTTAAACACTGTGTCCCGAATACAGAGAGGTGGAAAACCTCTCTAGATTAACTTTGGTGTGGAGTAAATACATGAGATTCCTGTTTCTGTTGCTGTAGAGATATTCTCTTATTTCCTTTTCGAAAATAAAATGACTAGATTTGGGCTAGGCAAGGTGGCTCATGCCTGTAATCCTAGCACTCTGGGAGGCCGAAGTGGAAGATTGCTTGAGGTCAAGAGTTTTGAAACAAGCCTGACCCCATCTCTACAAAAATAGAAAAAAATGGCCTGGGCATGGTGGTGTGTACCTGTGGTCCCAGCTACTTGGGAAGCTGGAGGCAGGAGGGTTGCTTGAGCCCAGGAGTTTGAGTTGCAGTGAGCTACCATGATGCCACTGTACTCTAGCCTTGCAACAGAGTGAGACCTTGTCTTAAAAAAAGAAAAAGAAAGAAAAAGAGACCAGATTTGAAAAGTAAAGTTGAAAATTTAATTGAGAGCATTCCTTATGTCCCTTAATTGTTTTTATGGTATTGTTAATGTTCAGGAGAGTATCTTCTTTT